AGAGAACCCTAGATATATTCTGAGTAATCCACCACAAGGAGGGATTTGATGCAGTGGCCTTCTTGGAATGATAGTTGGCTAAACTGCTAGATACTGGCTTCTGTTAGGTCTCCCTGGCTTGAGAGGACTTTTAGGATCCCAAGGAAGGGCCAGCATCTCCAGAGAATTTTTCAGCAAACAAAATCCTTTAAGTAGCCAGGAAAAGAAAATCATGCCCAATGGGATGAAATTGCTTCTTCCCCAAAACTTAACCCTAGAATCTAGGAATTTAGTTGGAAAAGGAAGCTTTTCTGGAGCCTTAGCCCACGGTATTTTGCCTTGACAAACATAAAAGGACCTAAAAAGTCACAACAGTAGCCCAACAGCTAACGAAGGACCAGGAAAGAAACCCAGGACGGAAGTGAAAGCACAAATGATTCAGCATTGTACACACCTGTTGATTGAGCCTGTAATATAGAATAGAGATCCAAAAAATTCATTTGGATCCCTACACACGCAGTTGGAACAGCAATGGCTACACTCACTCAATCCCAAATATCTGACACTTTTACTCCATCCATTCCTTATGCAGTGCTCAGCCAGAATTTAGTTGCATAAAAAGTCTATTGGAAAAGCAAGTAGTGATTATTAAACATTTGAACTGAACTTGTCCAATAAGAAGTCAGTTCTTTCCTTGTGGTTTTTGTATTTGTAGTAAAGACCTGACTGAATCTAAACAGGTGCAAGACCTATTCATCTGTAAGTGTAGTATCCAAAGATTATATTTAGCCTTCCTTGTATCCAAAACTCAGGGATCTTCATGATCCCTATATCTGAATGACCTAAAAACCTTAACTCTCTTCTCAGGCCAGCTGCCCTTTAACCTTTGAGTTCAAACATTCTATCTGGTATCTAAAGAAGCCCCAGCCTAAAGGGCTCTCTCTGAAATTCTTTTATGTGGGTGTTGACCAGCATGGGTATTGTCTCTCGCGGGAAAAGAAATATATGTTATAATCTCCTATAGATCCACTTTTAACCCCAAAACAGACATACTGTGGTCATCATACCTAATTCTGCAGCTGACTTGATGTCCACATTGTCATAGCCACTGCCAATACGCACAATGACCCGGAGGGCTTTGAACTTCTCCAGGTCCTGGCGGGACAAGGTGATAGTGTGGTACATCAAAGCTCCCACAGCCTCATTCAGCACCTACAAACACAAACAGAAAGCATACCAGCCTGAGAACCATTCCCTACTCCTGCAGCTCCATAATGGCACAGAGCTAGTCAGCTCCATCCCCATAAAGGCTCATTTAGTCTCCCTACCTTCTCATGGATTTCCTGAGTTGACTGAGCATCACAGAAAGCCACTGTAGCAACATCCTTCAGGATTGGCATTTCCACAGTGCAATCCCTCCCATCTAGGAGTGCAACCAGTGGTCGGGCAGGCATTGGGCCATTCACAATAGGAGGCCGTATACCTACAGACAAAGACAACAGTGATCAGCTGTGCAGGAAAGAGGAACAAGTGAATTCTGGAGCCCATAATTAGCATCAGCAAGGGGGTATACATAAGTCAGCACTGATCCAGTAGGGCACAAGAAGCTACACTTCCACAATATAAAAAAGATTAAGGAAGAAAATGGTCAGTGGCGAGGTGAAAGGGTCACCAAACTCATAAGAAATGAGGAAAATGAAGCCAGACTAGAAATATCCGTGCCTCTGGTGTGAAGAGGACACAGCAGACAGTTTTGAGCGAGGGCCCAGAATGAGCAGCCTCACCAGAAACAAGGTTCAAAGCATTGTATTAATACAGTAACACCTCGCTTAACATTGTAGTTATGTTCCTGAAAAATGCGACTTTAAGCGAAACAATGTGAAGCGAATCCAATTTCCTCATAAGAATTAATGTAAATAGGCGGGGTTAGGTTCCAGGGAAATTTTTTTCACCAGACAAAAAGACTATATAAGTTTTAATTGTTTATGTTTTAAACAATTTAATATTGCACACAGCAATGATGATTGTGAAGCTTGGTTGAGGTGGTGAAGTCAGAGGGTGGAATATTTCCCAGGGAGTGCCTTACTGCTAAATGAGAAACTAGCACTCGGCTGAGTCCTCAAGAGTTAACACATTGTTGTTAATGTAGCCTCACACTCTACAAAGCAGCACAAATGGAGGGACGAGAGACAGCATGGCAGATAGAGAGTGAGTGAGTGACATTGCCCCTTTAAGTACACTGACCTCACTCTAAGAACATTGCCTTTTTAAGTAGATCAGCAAGTTGAGACAGCAGCTGCTGCCAGCAAGCTCCCTCCATCCTGAGCCCTGTCCCTATTGTCGTTCCTCCCCCCCCTCCTGCTCTATGGAGATGGGGTAAGTGGGGGGCGAAGAGCAGGGGGGACCACCCTGACATTGCCCCCCTCGCCCCCCCGCTCAGCAAGCAGGAGGCTCCCGGGAGCAGCTCCAAGGCAGAGGACAGGAACAGCACACGGCAGTGGGGGAGGGACAACTGAACTGCCGGCAATTGCTAGCCTGCTGGGCAGCTGCCACACAGGGAATTTAGGGAAGCGGGGAGCTGACAGGGGGGCTGCCAGTCCACCCTGGTTCCAAGCCCCCACCAGCTAGCTCCAACAGGCTGCTCTTTCTGCAAGCAATGGACAAAGCAGGCAGCTGCCAAACAATGTTATAAGGCAGCATTACGCAACTTTAAACGAGCCATGTTCTCTAATTGATCAGCAATGTAACAATGAAACTACATTCACTGGGACGACTTTAAGTGAGGAGTTACTGTAGTGCTGAATGAGAAAAAACATGCACACACAAGTGTAACAAGGGTCTCAATATTGTTACAGAATTCTCTTCCCAGAAATTGTCCTCAATTCATGTTATATAACAGAAAAGGACTCCTACCGATATGGTGGCCACCATATTCTGGATTAAGGAAATAAAAGATGAGGTCAACCAACATCAGGTTAACAGCAGCATCTGTTCTTCACAATTCCTTATGTCCCTAGCTGCTCACATTCTGCTTTCCCTCCTAGACCCTGGCTTGAAAGATACCCCCTTTTTAGAGGGCTCCTAATAGGAACTTCCTGCCTCATATTAGCAAAGACAGGAAGCATATATTGAGAGCCAGAAGTGTGCAACCAGAGGGCTCTACGGAACTGTTCCCTACAGATGGAAGGAAAAGAAAATGGATAAGCAGCTGGCAACTTTATTTCAACTTTTTAAAAGATATTTCAGTTCATTATCCAACGTTAGCCAACTCTCCCAGAGATCAATCCTAGTGTTTGAATCACTACTAGGGAGGATTGCTGTGCCAAGGGCGAAGAAGTGTTTCCTTCAGCAAGGAGGCAGGGCAATAATCACCCTAGAAAACTTTCTCTACCTCAGGATTTCTCTCCAAGGAGAACTATGCCTGATCCCTAGCTTGCACTCCTAATACAACAGAGGATTTAGATATTGTTTCATAATAGTCACAGCCTCCACAGTCTCAGCTGAATCTCACTGTGAAAATTTCTATTACATCTTCTAAAGCCTTTCAAAAATCTTCATTCACTGCAACAGGAACAGAAAAACAGGGCATCTTCTGGGAGATGAAAAGTGATGGGGTTTAAAGATGTCCCAAATTATCTTAATCCTAATCCTCTGGCTCTCTAGGCTGTGGCCTGAACAGAAAAGAAGTGAAAGCAGAGCACCTAGTTTCACTAGAGAGTCATTCCAGTTGCCCCTGCCCGTAGGAACTGAGTTTCAGGTTTACTCATCTCACCCAAACACCCTTTTCCAGAAACAGAGCAGTCTCCGGAACCTCAAGGCTCTAGGGATAGAGGGTTACCTTCACAAATCCGGTCCAGCCTCTGACGCTTCACTTTGTGTCTGTCCATGAGACAAGCCAAGACTGACCTGAGCAGCCCTGAGGGGAGCCTCTGCACAGGATACTTGGCTCAGATTCCCTGAGCAATGCTGAAAAGAGACGGAGTGCGAGATCACGGTTATTCCTGAACTCCGTGCCCACGCCACACACACCGGTGGCCGAACCCCCGCTCGCCCCTCCGAGGCAGCTGGATTCGGAGACGGAAAAAACCCTGGGCCCCTCCCCCACCCGATCCGGCCGAGCAAATCGCGCACTGCCCGGGCGTCAGCACCGGGCGGGGGATCCCCCAGGACGGGACGCGGCTCCCCGGCTCCAGCCCCCCTGCGGCCGGACTCCGCGCGCCAGCGGGGTCTGGGCTCAGGGAACCTGAGGGGCTTCACCAGACGGACGTGCAGCGGCGGCAGCCCCAGCCCTCCCCCGCCGGCCGGCCGCCCCTCCCTGGCCCGGGCGGGGAACAGCGAGGCCTGCGGCGTCATAGCCGGCGGAGACTCGCTCCTCCCCACAGCCCACACTCACCGCCGGGCCCCAGGTCCCGACTCCCAGTAGGAAGCGGAAGGGCCGGGCCGGGCCGAGTCCGCGGCGAGCGAGGCCCCAGGCTCCCGTCCCTGGGCAGCGCCCCGTCCGGCCCGGAGCGGAACGGACCGCGCAGCCATAGAGACGCAATGCAGAGCGCCGCTCGCTTCCGGTTCCTCTCTGCGAAAACAACATCCGTTTCCCGCTCCGGCCGATCCCGCCGCGAGCGCCCCGCCCCCGCCCCCGCCGGCAGCGAGCCGGGGAAGCGGACAGACCTGCGGGGCCGCGCGCGGCCGGCCGGGGCTCGGAGCCGTGTCCATGTTTGATCCCAGCGCACGGTCGGCGTGGAGCGGCTGCAGGAGTCAGGCCGCTCCGAGTCCGCGGCCGCTGGGGGCGGGGGCGGGGCGGGGCAGGAACCCCCAGCCAGGAGTCAGCGCCCTCCCCTCCCTTACACACATTTCACTGAAGCAACTTTTCACTTTTTCCTTTAAAAATTGCATCCTGGCCAGGGCCGCTGTCCCCTCCAGAGCCCCAGCGGTGCTGATGCCTAAGCCGCCTTCTCCGTGGGTGTGCACGCGCCCGCCTGGGCGGGGGGGGTTGCTCTGCAGTTTCCAGAGTGTATATGCAACCCCTAGTTCTCTTCAATCAGATTCAGATCCAGGTCACTAAAGTCCTGCTGGAAAAAAGTCCTCTGGCTGGCCAGATGCCAGCTTCGGTTCCTTGCCTCATCTTCCTCTTCCTCACTCAGCACTTGGCCATAGCTGCTGATAGGACTGCAGGGGGCTGAAGGGGCTTGTGGGTTGCAAGCCAAGAACCATGATGGAGCACTGCCTTCCTCAGACTTGTCTAAGAAACAGAGGCCTCCTCCTGAGAACTGCTTCTGTCAAACAAACAAGAAAGATTCTTCCTTCCAACAGTGCTAGCAAGGAGGATGAATGTGCCAGTGTTGTGAGATTTCCCTAGCATAGCACCAGGAATGGCTCCTTGCCTGCAGTACCAGCTCCAGCCCCTAATTTCTCTGCTTCCTGGACTGATATGGAACAGGAGCAGTCTGCAAGGTGTGCAGTTACATGGCCCTGACAATCTTCCCTCTTCCCAGTCTGCAGTGATAGCACAGATACAGATTTACATAAAGCCTGCAGCCCCTCTCTTCATCTTCACCTGTTGGGAGCAACTTCTATACACAGAAGAGGACCAGCCATTTACACAGGACACAGAATTTCATCTGCAGTTACCTGTCTAGGTTGAACATTACAAGGATACAAACCCTTCTGACTAGACCATGACACTTGTTTACCTTTCATGGTATATTCAACAGCCTAAAACTGTGTTTTTCTTTTGACTTTTTTCTAACATTAAGTGTCAAGTCCTACCTTTTTACTTAGGGGAATTTTGGCATGTTTTTTCTTAGGGCCTTGCAGATTCTCCATCATTGCAGTCTTTACGTCAAGACTGGATATCTTTCCAAGATGCTATAGCTCAAACAGAAATTCTGGGCTTAATGCATTTATTGGGTGAAGTTCTTGGGTCTGTATTGTTCAGGAGATCTGACTGAATTATGGTAATAGTTCCTTCCTGCCTTAAAAATCTACACAAAAACAAACAACCCCCTCTCCAAAAAACCCTGGCTCCCCCTTCTTCTTGCCCTACTCTTTCCATCCTACCTGGTTCATCTTGTAGAAGTTGAGTGAGGGACGGTGCCACTTTGCATCCTCCTCATGGCACTGCTTGAGGCCATTCTTCTTTGTGTCCAGGTCACAGGGCTGTGACTGGCTGGGTGGGAGGCCATGCTGGTGCCTGAGCAGTTCTGGTGTGGAGGAAGCAGAGCTCCGTGGGGAGGGCAGGATCTGGACAGGTGATAAGGAGAAGGGCTGCAAGGTCTTCTCACTCTCCCACAACATGCTGACTAGGGATTCCCGGGATAGGGTCAGACTGAAAAAGGGGGGGCTACTGCCACCACCACCACCTTGGACACACTGAAGAGATGCACCTGGGGCTTGGTCAAACCTGAGACTGCAGGCTCCATGGTCTGGGATCGGGGGCTGCTCTTCCAAAGCACTTTCTCCACTGCTGCCCCGATGCTTGATAGGAGTCCACACTTTGGAGCCAAGAGGCCTACAGAGGGGATGCCAGTGGAAGAAATTCTCAGGCACTGAGGGTGAGCAGCAGTGCCTTTTGGTGGGGACCATAGAGGCCTTCCCCAAGGTGAGCGGGTCCGTGGCCAGTGTTTGGGATGGAAGGCTGTTCTTCTTAGGGCAGCTGTCTTGGCTGCAAGGAGACAGATTCAGGCGGGAGTGGTGGCAACTGAAACCTGTGCTGTCCTGAAGGTGTATCCTGGGACAGGAGATCAGGTCCCACCAGGAAGCCCTCTCTGCAAGAGACACCACAAAAGAGGGAGAGAATTAACAGCATGGCCTCTGCCTCACCAGCTGTCCTACAGTCCTGGATGAGGGACCAGTGCCACCACACCCTATCCAGTAACTTCTGATGTCCTCCAAATAACCTTTAATTGGGGAGTGGGCACTGCATGCACCTGGTAGAGAAGGGCTTGCCCCAACAAAGTCCATTTCTGACCACTGGGCTTTATAGTTTGATTCCCTTTATTCTGTGTCTATGGTAGTTCCCAGTTCCACACAAAGATGAGCACAGGCAGTCCTGACTGACTCACCATCTGGCCCCCACTGCTGTCATTACTTGATACCCATGAGAAGTTCTAGCTCTTTTAATCTTTATTTCCAAACACAGATCCCAATTTGTCTTTCATAAACTCGGAGCCCCTTGAGCACAGCTTCCTTCTGATCAGGCTGGCAAGGTGACAACACGTGGGGGCAGGTGGGACAGCAAAGAATATTCTGTTAAAGGAGTGATGTACACTGGAGGAGCAAAGCAGGTGGGAACAAATGGACTGGTAAGCCTCCCCTGCTCCCTAATGTTGATATGCTGAAACCATGGAGAGAGAAGCCTGTGCCAGACATTCTGCTCTGGCAGAAGGTGTGGACTGGGGAAAAAGCAAACAGACATCCTGCCTGGAAGTTTGGAATTGGAGGGAAAGTTGTGGCCACCTCCTCCACAATTGACATCTCTAAGTTTGAGGAACTCAGCAATGGAAATGGTATGCTGAGCAACTGTGAGCAAGAACAAATCCTAGAACATCAAAATAAACCAAAGTGTAGCAGGTTCCACAGTTACTGACCAGTCCCTACAAACATCCCCAATTCTCAAAGCCTTGATGGGGCAACACTACTTCGATCTAGAGCAAGATTTCTATCTGAGCATTGTTCTTTCCCCACCAGCCTGCTTAACTGCTGAAAATTTTCACTGAATGCAAACGATACCAAACCCTATATAAGTAGGATTGCCAACTTTGGTTGGATGAATTCCTGGAGATTTCATCACATGACAATCTTTAATTAAAGATTAATCTTTAATTCCAGGAGACTCCAGGACAATCCTAGAGGGGTTGGCAACCCTACATACAAGTGAGTGTAGCTAACCTAGCTGAACAACATTCAGCCCTTAGACAGATATGGATGAGGAAAGATGAGAGTTCACTGTGGGGGCTGATGAAGAAAGACGAGAGTTCACTGCGGGGGCTGCATGTTTATGAGAACTACAGGAGCCTTCCTGAAGGGCTGACACACAGCAATCTGTGCAGCTGCATATGCAGTAGGGAGACATTTAATGCCAGAAATAATTGAGAATAATTCTGATGACATGAAAAGGCCAGAACAAAAACATGCTGAGGCAAAGAGAGTAGACCAGGACAGACAGCTTCTGGAACAGAGAATAGAGCTTTCAGACAAGAGACACAGGGAGGAGAATCTCAGAGCCCTGGGCCCCAGAAGATACTCATGCACACTTTGGACATACAGACGTACAGTGAGAATCACTCCATACAGTAAAGCACTATCAGGGCTGGAACTGTAGACAGGAGTAATATCTGGATCACTAGGCTATGCAGGCCCAACTTGTGTGACCAAGCCAATGTTATAACGGACATCAACAGTATCGCCTCGCTGGAATGGATCATTTTCCCCTTTCCCATGATCAGTAATGTTACAAGCACCTAGAGGAGAACTGCTGCCAGGCAAGAAACTATTTAAAAGGAGGGACTGGAAGCCAAAGGGCAGGGGAGATGGGACAGAGAGAGTCACCTGAATTCCAGTGGAATAGTTTCATCTGGTTTCTACTGGTTCCAACTGGTCAACAACGTGCCATCGCTGGTAAATAGTATCAATGGTCAATGAGGGTCTGGCTGGAGAATCTTGCCTGCATGCTCGGGGTTCTACTGATCACCATATTTGGGGTCGGGAAGGAATTTTCCTCCAGGGTAGATTGGCAGAGGCCCTGGAGGTTTTTCGCCTTCCTCCGCAGCATGGGGCGGGGGTCGCTAGCTGGAGGAGTCTCTGCGACTTGAAGTCCTTAAATCACAGGATTTGGGGACTTCAACAGCTGAGTTAAGGGAAAGGGGGTGGGTCAGCTTTTGTGGCCTGCATCATGCGGGAGGTCAGACTAGATGATCATACTGGTCCCTTCTGACCTTAAAGTCTATGAGTCTATGAGAAAGTGAAAGACATATTACCAGGGAAATACTCCTCCCTCCCTCTGAGGAGGTTCCCTCATGATTGGGAAAACG